CAATACTAAGAGAAGATGTTAACTTTGGGACACCAACTAAGGAAAGCTATCGATTTTCTCCCCAGAAAAACATCATGAACACAGGAAGGGGGCAAGGATCAGGACCAGGGGAGAATTGAAGAGCTCCTAATTCTGTCATTGCAGTACCTCCCTGCCCAATCTGCTAGTTGCATCCCGTGTCTGCTACATCTTAGAAGGGGATACCCTAAGCAAAAAGGAACTTATAAAGTGGAACAGCCTCTTTACCTGTGCTGACATGGGAGGAGGAGCTGCTTTGTCGCCATCGTCACCCCTCAGAACCGGCCGATTCAGTACGATACCAGTCTGCAAAACAGAAAGGACTCTAGGTCAGTCCAAGAGCAGCAGTTCCACTAAACGACGTTCGCTCCCACTCATGCAACAAAATTTACCCAGTGCCTGTCTGCGGAGCTCAGGCTGGGCACTGGGGAGTGCCAATATGTGTATAGAAACGGTTGCAACTAAGTAGATAAAGTCAATAACACGCAAAAAGGGAAAGCCCCCGCTAGCTGTGTGGAGGAACACAAAGAATGAAGACCGAGTTGAGAGGTCATGAAGGCTTCCTCCAGATGCTCGGCCTATCCCGACATCCCGCCGCCAACTCTTACCTGGCGGGTGTAGCTCTGCAGCCGTTCCACCAGCTCCTCACGACTCCCTGCTGAACAAAGCACAGGACCAATGAGTACGGCAGACCAAGCCAGCGGGTCCAGGTCGCGCCCGTCCGCCCAGGTCAGGCCCCAGCGGCCCGCCACCGCCCCAGGGTCTCCCGGGTAACCGGGCTCCGCTTGCCCGCAAGCCTGCGCTGCTGGCTCTTGACCTCCAGTGCTCCTCACCTTGGATCGGAGCTCCAATCTCTGCCAGTTTTGCCTGAAGCTCCTGGGTAGCCCAGGCGCCATAGTGCCCAAGAGGTGGCGGCGGCGGCAGCTGCAACTCTCCTTTGGCAGCCTCGGGATGCTCGGCCGCCATCTTAGCAGCAGCGAGGCGCGCGACCAATCCGGAAGCTCGCGCCAGAGCCGGGGCCCACTTCCCGGAACTTCCGGCAGCGCGGTCAGCCACGTCCCCTCCAGGGTTGGAAGGTTTTTCGGTAGAGACCCACCCCCTGTCGCTCTCCAATGGTCCCTGGGAGGCCACGTCGCGCAGCCTTCTGGGAGTTGTAGTACGGTTACCGGCCACTGCACCGAGAGCGCTGGGGACCGGGCTGCGGGGCAAGTGGGTCCCTCCGGAGGGCGTGCTTTCAGCGTCTGACGGGCCCGCGCGCGGCACGCCAGGCTTCCGACTCCCTGACCGAGCGTGAGAGGCCCGGACGCTT